TTGATTTCCATAAGGTTTTACTTACAGGCAATACAACATCTCCTCCCCCTTCCCCCATTTGGTTTACTGTTTCTAAGGAAAAATGGAAAAATTTGGAGTCAGAAGAGTTTTGAAAAAAGAAAAAAAAAAAGCTGCATGAAGAGTTACTCTTTAAATTATTTTCTACATATTTGTAAGAACATAGCAAAAAGTGTCTTCATTTATATTAAATCAGGATTTTATAGCTCAAAGCTGTGAAGAAAATCTGCGAATCAATTTCATGATATTGACTTCTCTCTTAAAGCTAGTTCCTATTTAATCTAACCACAAACAGATTTAGTATAAATTCATATGAGACAGAGATGATCATGTCAGATTCATTTAAAGGTATGGGAAAACCCTTCCAGATTTATCACCGTTTGACAAGTCCAAAGAGTAATGATGATTTCTGGATGTTCTACAACTGTCTAATACTCCTTATCATTTCAATTACTTTCTTGACATTATTCTTTCTCTTCAAGGGAAAGCCTTGGTTTCTTAAAGGCTCCTGTAAAGGAGCGTGTGGTGGCCTTGGCTAGCAGCCAAACTCCCACCCAGATGCTCCCTCCCTCCCTCCCCACATAGTGGAGCTGCGGTGAAAATACGAAAAATGGGAATGAGAAAGCTCATGAGTGGATATCAGGAAAGAGAGGTCACTTGCCAGTTACCTTTGCAAGCAAAACAGACTTAACTTGGGGGAAAATTAGCTTAAATTCTGGCCAATTAAAATAAATATTTAATTACTGGTCTAGTAATGGAAAATAAAAAGAAAAACCTTAAAACAGCCCATTTCCTCCCCCCTTTCCCAGGCTCATATTCTTCAAATCTGGCTGCTCTACATCCTCTCCTCCCAAACTGGTGCAGGGTGATGGATCACGGGGCTGGGGCCAGTCTGTAACAGCCCCCCTCTGCCACTTCTTGCTCCTTGGTCTGGGCCTTGCTCCTGCGGGGGCTCTCCATGGGCCGAAGCCTCCTCCAGGCCACATCCACCTGCTCCACCGGGGGCTCCTCCACCCACGGGGGGGCTGCAGCGTGGAGATCTGCTCCGTGGGGGACCCATGGGCTGCAGGGGGACAGCCTGCTCCACCGGGGGCCTCTCCCTGCACAGCCCGCAGGGGAACTGCTGCTGCCTGCCTGGAGCACCTCCTGCCCTCCTGCTGCACTCACCTGGGGGGCTGCAGGGCTGCTTCTCCTCTCTTTCTCCCTGTGAAGCAGCTTTTTTTTTGTTATTTTGGTTCTCCTTTCTTCAATATGCTCTCACAGAGGAGCAAGCGACATCGTTTCCTGGCTTGGCTCTGGCCAGCAGTGGAGCCCTTATCTAACGCGGGGCAGCTTCTAGATTCTTCTCACAGAAGCCACCCCTATGGCCCCCTGCTACCAAAACCTTGCCACGTAAACCCACCAGAGCAACTCTTTCGGTGAAGAACTTTTTCGCAATAACCAACCAAAACCTCCCCTTGTACAACCTAAGGGGTTTTGTTCTTGTCTTGTCACTTGGGGCTTGGGAGAAGAGAACGATCCCCACCTCTCTGGAGCCTCCTTGAAGCTTCCTGTAGAGCACAGGAAGGTCTCCCCTGAGCCTCCTTTTCTCCAGGCTGAACAAGCCCAGCTCCCTCAGCCGCTCCTCACCAGACTTGTTCTCTAAACCCTTCACAAGCTTCAGAGCCCTTCTCCGCACACGCTCCAGCACCTCGAGGTCTTCGCTGAACACAGTGCTCGAGGTGCGGCCTCACCAGAGCCGAGCACAGAGGGACAACCGCTTCCCTAGTCCTGATGGCCACTCTAGGTCTGATACAAGCCAGGTGTAGAGATATTTACATACATCTATATGCAGCACTAGTACATGTTCCTTGGAACACTGGTCCAACTCTCTTCAAACCCCGTAAATTGATGGTTTCCTCTAACTGGCACTGACGCTTCAGCGGGATCCTCTAAATCCCATGTTACTGCTTCTGCTTCCTAAGCAGGTGACAGAAACTCCTAAGCGGAGAGCAGAGGAGTTGTAGTTCTGTATCCAGGAAATATTTGGAAGTTTGGAAGATGCTTCCCTTGCTCAGCTGCCATCCCTATGTTCATCAATCACCCGATCTTTTGCCTTCCAGCAAAAGTCTTGATGCAGTTCTTAAGGCAAGTTCTTTCTGAAAATCCTCAGCCACCTCTGTGCACGCCAAACCTTTCATGGCACTGTGCAATGCGCGGATGGCAGCGATAAATCAGGTTGTGGAAGGAATGGCAACGCCTGGGGAGGGACTTTTCAGGTGGCTTCGCGCTGTTTCGCAGGTCCCTGAATTAGAGCTAATGAGGAAACAAGTGGTAGAAACAAAACCTTGAGGGAGGCGTGGATAAAGAATTGGCTACAGTGTTAAAGAGGACCTTTGGGCAGTGGGCAATTGCTGGCTGGCTCCAGGCGCGTGTCTGAGGGTCTCTGAGCAACTGTATGATAGATTCGGGTGCGTGGACAGCACGTGGGGCTACGGGGAGAGGACATGTAGGAGTGAAAAAGGGCAATAAACGCCTCCTGTTCAAAAGCCATCAGGAGTCTGTGTCTTGCGTCCCTTCAGCAACACAAAGATTTGGCTCCAGATCCAAAATGTCATGTATTTGGCAATTTTATTTATGGTAGCACTCCCCACCCCTCCCATCTGCTCTTTTCCCTTCCCTCCCCTCCCCTCCCCTATGCTCCCTGTCCCGACACTCTGTTACACTCCCCTCCCCTCCCCTCCCCTCCCTCCCCTCCCTCCCCTCCCCTCCCCTCCCCTCCCCTATACTACCCTACACACCCCTATACTACCCTACACACCCCTACACTCCCCTCCCCTATACTACCCTACACAACCCTACACTCCCCTCCCCTAAACTACCCTACACACCCCTACACTCCCCTCCCCTATACTACCCTACACACCCCTACACTCCCCTCCACTCCCCTCCCCTCCCCTATACTACCCTACACTCCCCTACACTCCCCTCCTCTATACTACCCTACACACCCCTACACTCCCCTCCCCTATACTACCCTACACACCCCTACACTCCCCTCCCCTATACTACCCTACACACCCTACACTCCCCTACACTCCCCTCCCTCCCTATACTACCCCTACACTCCCCTCCCCTATACTACCCTACACTCCCCTACACTCCCCTCCCCTCCCCTATACTACCCTACACACCCCTACACTCCCTCCCTCCCCTCCCCTATACTACCTACACTCCCTACACTCCCTCCCTATACTACCACACACCCCTACACTCCCCTCCCTATACTACCCTACACACCCCTATACTACCTACACACCCTACACTCCCCTCCCCTATACTACCCTACACTCCCCTACACTCCCCCCTCCCCTATACTACCCTACACACCCCTACACTCCCCTCCCCTCCCCTATACTACCCTACACTCCCTACACTCCCCTCCTCTATACTACCCTACACACTACACTCCCTCCCTATACTACCCTACACACCCCTCCCTCCCCTCCCCTCCCCTCCCCTCCCCTCCCCTCCCCTATACTACCCTACACACCCCTACACTCCCCTACACTCCCCTCCCCCCCCTATCCCTCCCCTACACACCCCTACACACCCCTATAATCCCCTCCCCTATACTACCCTACACTCCCCTTCGCTACACTACCCTACATTACCCTATGCTCCCCTCCCCTATGCTCCCCTACGCTCCCCTCCCCTATCCTACCCTACACTCCCCTAAACTCCGCTGTCCTACACTACCCTATACTCTCCTACGCTCCCCTCCCCTCTACTATGCTACACTACACTACACTACACTACACTACACTACACTACACTACACTACACTACACTACACTACACTACACTACACTACACTACCCTCCCCTCCCCTTCCCTCCCCTCCCCTCCCTTCCCTTTTTTTTCTTCCCTCCCTTCCCCACCCCTCCCCTCCCCTCCCTTCCCTTCTTTTTATTCCCTCCCCTTCCCTCCCCTCTTGTCTTCTTTCTTTCAGGTAAGTTCAGATCGCTTCAGCTGTTCTCGTAGCTCATATCCCTGGCTGATTCACGGGAACCCATCAGCAGCAACCAGAAGCGCTCCAGCTGCTTTGTCACTAGTTGAGCAACAGTCTCCAACTGGGAATCGCTGACTTCGTTGTGTGGCTCAGACAGGTGCCTTGCAGTTCCACCGTGGCCTGGACGTGTCCTCTTGCTGTGTCCCCACCTACATGGCAGTTCTGCTTAGAAGCAGCAGCAGGCTTTGGAAGTAGTCCCACTCCTTCCATTTTCAATGGTTTAGCTTGGCTAGCCGGGTGGTGTCTGTCAACAGAAAACAACAAAGAGATTTGGGTTAGAAACAGATAACTGAGTAGTTCCTTTGCACAAGGGCAAGGTATATTTACCCGTTCCTAATGGAGGCTGCAGTGTCAGAGATAATGACGGGTCCTTCAGAGAGCTTTGAAATATCCCTTGGGGATGCTGAGTCCAGAGGACCAGAGGAAATCTGTCTAAAGTACACCATGGAAGCACTCTGAATTACTTCCTAGCACAGAAGCATCTCTGCTGATACGGCTTCAGCTGGTTTCAGTGTTCTTCTTCACCTAATACCTAAATTCAGATAAGAGGTCTCAATGAAGATGGAAAGACTGAGAAATAGAGAAATCACTGATGTGCTTTGAGAACTTCTAAGGACTGAGAACTAAATAAATCCAATGTTGTAACATTAAGGATTGGTTAGAAAAGTAAACGTTAAAAACAAGTAAAGGAGAAGGACAAGTAAGCTTTCTTAAAGGATCTACTATATGTAAAGGATCTTTAAATAAGTAAAGAAGTAATGAAATATATGCGCAGAGAGATAGATAGAGAGATAGATATGCAGAAACCTAAGAAACTGCTGCGCAGGTTAGCTTCTTGCTCTCTTTTCTAAAAGTCCTAGTGAATACAGCATCTGTGTGCGTTACAAGCATTACCCTCAGTCCAGCACAGGTACACACGAGAGGACAGCCTGCACGTTGCGGAGGCAAAGAAGCTGCTCTGGCTGGATGCGAAGAGCCAAGACAGAAGTTGCTGTCAGGGAAAAGATACACAGAGGGGATGAAAAACACGGAGTGTGCTTCCGACCTTCACAACTTCTAAGCAAGCGGAGATGAGGTTGTGGAAGAACCAAATAAGCTGTTGATCTAGAAGCAGCCTGAAGATTGCCCTTAAGCAGGGCCTTGCATTCTTCATTTTTGTAGCATTGCTTGCCTTCAAGTGCACGATCATGATTTGATTAACTTTCTACCACTACAGAAATGCACCGGATTCTTTCACAACACTTACGGGTGGTAATTGGAAATACTGGTCAGCATTCTCTATTTCCTTCTTCCTCTCAATTCTCTTTTGGCCTGTGAAGCTTTTCAGATCAGAGGAGAAGATCCGCTGTAATACGGAGTTTTGGATCCTGCAAAGGAAATGAAGAATCGTACTGACAACTCTTTTCAACCTCACCTGCAACCATCACAGAAGAGAATAGCGAAAGAACGCCGCTTTCTCATGGGAAGCATAAATTCGAGCATAGGTGTCCCCTAGCTGAAGCGAGGTTAAGCAGGTTCCAAACAAGGGGAAGGAGCACACCCAGAAGCATTTCCATAAAGCTGTGTTTTCAAACAAATGCTTTAAAGACTTAGATTTTCTTACAAGTGAAGAATGAAAAAATAAAAAGAAAGAAAATTACCCGGACATACCGTTTTCTTCTAGCTTGCTTTGCTGCTTTCAGAATCTAGGGCTTTGATACTGCTGCCTCCTCAGCAACATCAGCAATTTCCTAGGAAAGCTGGTGTCCACCAGGTCAAATAGGAATGGGAAATCCCTCTTGCCACAACTTCACACTCACACCAGAGTTGGCAGGACAGATCGATGGACAGAGAAGTGTCTGTAAGAGTGTTAAAACAGACTTTAGATTTCCGTCCACCCAGGAAAAATTACTTGCTCATCCCTTCAAACTGACCTCTCAGTAGAAGGAGGTGATCCCAAGCTGCATTCCTGACATCTATGCTGCAAAGTCATCAAATGCGCCATGTTACTGTACCAGCCTGTGATGAACAGAAACAGGACTTTGAGGTTATGCTGTTTGAGTAGAATTAAGCTCAAAGAGTTAGTCCTTTGGCATGTTTTTGTCTGCAAGTGTTTTCACTGTTTCCCAGACAATGTCTCCAGCAAGCTGGCTGCTTGCTTCATTTGTTCTGTTCCATTCTGTTTTGGTTTGTTTTCTCGGCAAGGGTTCTTAGAGAAATGAGATTAAAGTGTGCATATTGTATGTCCATCCATCCCTCCCTCCCCTTCGCTTGTCCAGAGCTTTTACCTTGTCCACCAGCTTGAATGAACTCGGTCCTAGGCGCAGTTGTGTCCAAGCCATTCTGTTCCTAGAGATGTTGTGAGAACAGACAGCTAAGTAGTGGGGAGAGGACGTGCTGCTGTCTGCAGTGTGACCTCAGCGCTTACCAAACAGTAGGGAATACACAGAGAAGGGCGTTAGGAAAACTTCAAGCCCCAGATACATTTTATGTGGAAACCATATTTCCCAAGATAACGCTGGACACAACTGCATAATCAAAATGGATTCATTTCTTGGTTCATCCAACTCCTAGGTTTTAGTTTTGAAAAGTTTCTGTCTTGGCTTAAAGCACTCTTCCAATCTCTGTTTGCAGTTACTATGATTTCCTGAAATAGCTCATCCCATTTTTTTCTCTGTACCATCTCCCAGTCTCTTTGTTTTCCTCTCCCCGAGAAACTTAGAACTGCTCTCTTCATACTTGACAACTAGATATGGAGCTGTATCAGCCAGAAGGAAGTTTCCTTCACACTTTCCGCTTCTTACGGTACCTGGACTCTTACCTTTACTCTTACTCGCCCTTCCTACATTAGCACAAAGGAAGCTGTTTTGGAGATCTGACGTCTTGTTCTCCAGAAGCTACCCTGAATCACCTTTACGAGAGCTGTCCCACGCTGCGAGCATAAGTCTTGCAGTCTGGCCAGATATTTGCCTTCTAAGTCAATAATCAAACCTGTCAAGTTAAGAACATGTAATTAATGGAAAGGAAATCCTTTTATTTTGATCCCAATTCCCTTTTTTTTTAATTTCTTTTTTTTTCTTCTTTTTTTCTAGACCACGAGTGAATCGTGGGAAACCAGCAAAACTCAGGTGAAAAATGGAATGAACAATGTTAAGGTCAGGCAGCTTGCCCACTGCGATTGCTATCCTGAAAGCAGATGGAGTGCATCTTCATACACCACAGCCTGAGACACTACTCGACAGGCCAGCCCATGTGATGAAGTCCATTGCTGTCCTGAATTTTAACATGACAGGGGTACTCTTAAGCCTCTTGTTTATGCTTTAGTACTTGCAGTCTGTGGGAGGACCACAGCACACTCTTCTCTGTCTACCCTTATTTGTTGATCGTCTGTAGGAAGAAGAGAACGTGCAGAGGCCCTCACCCGTACATTGGGTCTGTTCTCACTCTGTGCAGCTCCATCATTGAGCAAAGTACCAAACCTGATGCTTCTCTAAGGGCTTTACACAAACTACAGAATACTAAAATGAAGCATTCACAACAAAACCACACTGTTTTCCCCAGCCAAGCATTAAAACACTTACAGAAGGGCATGGGCCCTCTCTGTGCACCTCGAGGTGGGATCCACAAATCCTCACGTGGTTTCAACACATCCAGCACCCTTCTCTGTCCCTCCCGGCTAAACGTGCCCAGAGGCAGCTGTTCCCAAAGTGCTGTGGTGACATAATTCCCTTCTGTTTCTGAAGTCATCACCGCAGGCGCCTCCCAGTGACGGCACAACACTCTCTGTTGCTAACGCGTCTGTCTCAGAAACAGCTAGAGAAGTACCACTATGCCCAAACTGACTTGAATTAGGGTAGCTCAAAAATTATTCCCTGCTCCCCTACATCTGTGGAAGGTGTGTGATCAATCTTTTCCTTGAGAAAGGACTACAGACCAAAAGAGCTTGATTCTGAGACGTTGCCCGTACTTGTAGAGCAGTTCACCTTTGATTTCCATGTAAGAAAAAAGAAGGTGAAATCAACAATTCCCTACCTCTGATTTGGGAATAGGAAAAAACCCCAATTATCCAGGAAGCCTTAATAAGGAAACTATGCACTTCCTTGTTAAACATCTTGTTTCTTTGGAAAACTTTTCCAGTCCTTTGCAACTGCGGTGGTCTGAATCGGGTGGGCAGCTGAGTTCCACCACGGCCGCTCTCTCACTCCCCCTCCTCAAAGGGAAAGGGGGAGAAAATACGATGCAAAGGGCTCAAGGGCTGAGATAAGGACAGGGAGATCACTCAACAAGTATCATGACGGGCAAAGCAGACTCAGCAGAGTGACCTTCAGGGTCCCTCCCTGCCCCTGCTCCCCGTGGGGTCCCTCCCACGGGATGCCGTCCTTCCCCAGCTGATCCCACACGGGCTGCCCACAGGCAGCAGCTCCTCAAGCACTGCTCCCACACGGCTCCGTCCCACGGGCTCCATCCATCCATCCATCCCCCAGGAGCAAACTGCTCCAGCACGGGTCCCCCACGGCTGGGTGGCAGCTCCCCCCAGACCCCCTGCTCCTGCGGGGGCTCCTCTCCACGGGGGGGCTGCAGCTGCGGCCAGGGGCCTGCTCCTGCGGGGGCTCTCCATGGGCCGAAGCCTCCTCCAGGCCACATCCACCTGCTCCACCAGGGGCTCCTCCACCCACGGGGGTGCTGCAGCGTGGAGATCTGCCCCATGGGGGACCCATGGGCTGCAGGGGGACAGCCTGCTCCACCGGGGGCCTCTCCCTGCACAGCCCGCAGGGGAACTGCTGCTGCCTGCCTGCAGCACCTCCTGCCCTCCTGCTGCACTGACCTTGGGGGCTTGAGGGCTGCTTCTCACTCCTTTCTCTAATAGACTGCTGTGGAGCATTTCTTCCCTTTTTTCACTATGTTTTCCCAGAGGTTCCCCACAAGTTGTGGACAACGCAGAGGTCTGGCCTCAGATGTTCATCTTTACCAGACAGTCAAAACTCATATGGGCAGGAATCCTAAAGCAGAGCAAGAGGAAAAATTTTATTACCCCAAGTCTGGTGTGGCAGCAGCCAGGTGAAAGACAAAGACGTGGGCAGAACAGCACTGGTTGAACTTCACAAATACCAGACTTCTGCCCTCACCTCTCCTGCTCTCAAGAGATAGACCTTGCGATATGCTGGGTTGTATTAAAACTCCCTACGTAGTAATATACAATGTCAGACAAGTAATATGGCTGTCAGTCTGTTTCACAGACAATTTAAATTGGATCTTTTGGCTCAGTAAAAAGCTAAAATCAACAGCCTTGATGGTTATTGCCAGGACATAAAGTCTGTAATTCAGAGATTAGATTCCTTTGATAATTATCTTATTTTAAGTTAGAGGCTCTGTAACTCTAATTCTACACTTGCAGTTCTTGTATTTCCTTATTTGGAGTAGCATTTTATTACATCTTTTGTTTTTGTTCATCAAAGAGAAAGTTCTGAATATGAAAGCAAACAAAATTTTGCATTTGATGGCATCAAAACACTTCTGGAGATGAAGCGTCTTTCAAGTTACATGTAACAAATGTATTTGCATTACATCTCAAAAACAACCAGAATATGTGAAAAACAACCTTCTTAGTTGTTAGTCATGGGACTTAGTAATGGTTGGAGTTAATGACTTAAAACATCTAATAATCATTTAAGTCAATTGATAGACTTGTATGATATCAATTAGTACAATTAGCAAGGTTATGAAAATTCAGACTAGAAAAGTTTATTGTCTTGAAACACTCAGGAAGACCTAAGTCGTCACAGCTCATCCCAGGAATGACATGGCATAGTCTTAAGCAAATGGGAGGACCAGTGTCCCAGAGAGAGCAGGTGAGTGACAATTTACTCCTACATAATCTGCTATTAGGCCTCTGGCCATAACTACCAGCAATACTAAAGACAGTTTAATTCACATGCGTTTGAGGGTTACAGCTGAAGCTCTTACTTGTCAAAGAAAATTCTGAACTCGTTCTATATCGAGTCTCACCAAAATGAAGAATCTCAGCATAGTAGAGTTCTCCTAAGAGTGAAGTTCTTGATACTTAACATTGCTGTTTAGTTTAACTGTTTGAACTCTAAGCAATGATATAACAAAATTAATTACGCATTTTATATGAATTGATAAGTGAAGTACTGATGATCTGTAACACTAAGCATTTGTATTAATAGTTAGCCTACTATTAAAATGAGTTAGGTTGTACATATAAAAGTACATTGATTTTGTAGCAAAAATATTTCTATAGTTAATTATCTTTCTGTAAAACTCACACATATCTATTATCACTTACTGTGAAAGTCCTAGGCTTTTGCAAAAAAACTAGATTAAAACAAAATATGAAAGATTTTTCATCCATTCCATATGGATTTGTATATTTGATTCTTTTTATTGATCTCAATCTTGTTTCAGTCACTTAAAAACTGTCTTGTCTTATAATTAAATTATTGTTTTATAAGTTTGTACTTGTAATGATTCAGACTAAGTTTTGATATGCTGAAGAGATCTAAAGATGCATTGTACTTATGTTTTGAATTACAGCATTAATTATAAGCAAATTAAAGAGAGAGGTTAAATGAAATTTCAATGTGTATAAATATCTGAGGGGAGGGTGTCAAGAGCATGGAGCCGGTCTCTTTTCAGTTGGGCCCAATGAGAGGACGAGAGGCAACAGGCAGAAA